TTTCATGTTTTCTTAAGTATAACTTATGTCGGAAGATGTAGAAGTTTTTTTTTTGTTTTTCTATGTTCCGTTAAGAGGATGTGGGTACTATCAAATAAAAGAAAATCGTGAAAATTTACATTTGAATGTAGGTATTTGTTCGATTCATGTTATGATATGTTGTCTACTCTTCTGGTATGGTCGGTTACTGATCCGATGAATGCAGCGGCAATGAATACACAAGATCCAGATACCAAATTTCGATTTCCCACTTACTCCTTAATCGTTAAAAAACTTCGAGTAAATTTCTAGAAGTTGCTTGTTGTTGAGTACTATATTCATTTTTCTTTAAATTTTAATTTCTCATTAAAAAAAAATCGAAAATATGAGTTATAGAAGTGATTAGATATGGATTAGAATATGGATTAGATTAGCAAGATTAGCAAAATTTGAAGTAATATCTATAGATATAACGAATAATAATTTTGTAGAAGGAATTGAACGAACGTACGTTAATTCCTGAACTTCGTTCACTGATGCAGTTTTTACCTATTCCAAAACCCCAGTTTGAACTAATAACTTGTGAACCATATGGCACTGTACCAACTTCACCACAAAAACTTGGGAAGAGCCAATCGCAAGGACAGTTAATCCAAACAACAGTAAAAGCCAATCGTCATGGGTTGCAGGTTTGTATATTGCAATGTTATTTCGTAATAACAATAAGTTCTGCGGGGCAGCCTCTAGGAAAAAGGTTTGCACAGTGAATGGATGCAGAGGTTTCTATCTTTTTTGATTTCACTAATTAAAGAGAGAAGGATAACAGAGTACCGACTGCGACATACACGTCTTATCACGTCTTGAGATGTATGTTTTACCAGATGCACTCACTCATCTTTTTCAAATCGTCTCTTAGCTTCATCTGCATAAGTTGTTCCCTCTTTCATCATTTTCAGTATTGATGTGTCGATTGCATGTGTTACAGTTTACTAATGTACAACAATGCGTTATTAAAAGAGTTAAACGATCATCTTGATATCACTGACGTTGTCTTCACTTTTGTTATTTGCTGAAAAGTAGCCTTTGCCTTTGTCTTTATGAAAGATAATCTTTGTTTTTCCAGTTTGCTGAAAAAGTGAAGTTGTCGTCTTACGATATAATACAATATCTGAATGTTGATTCAACTTTGCTGAAGCGTCCCTGGAACTGGTCAATGTTACAGGTTTGTGATTTCCTGTGTTTGTATTCAACAAAGATCACATATGTATATAACGAAATGTTGTGATCCTAATTCATGAAATCTTCTAACACTGACTTATTCGTCCAAGCAGGCTTTGGGTATTGTGCCATGACTATTAATTTTCAAATTAATGTAAAATATGAGAAATCTTAAATATTGCCATTTTTTCCGTTTTTAATTGATCTTAATCATTGCAGGCTGTAAAACTAGACCGTTTGCCAGTTCCTGTACAACGATACATTCAACGTTTAGTGCACCATTCGCATTACAATGAATTTGTCCGCCCAACGATTTGTGGAATGGATCGGTGAATTAAATTTTTCTGACGGAAATAAATATGTGTCTAGTTCAAGTTTTCCTCGAATCCGTATCTCTAAATCTATTTTTTCTTCCTAACAGTGATTAACTTGTAATTTCTTCTTTATGGAATTGTCCATCATGCCGGAATAGTAAGTTCGTTTTATCATAATTGAATATGATTAACTTCAGAACCGGACTGATATAAGTGAGTGAACTAGAAATTATCATAATTGAAATAATTTTTGTTGCAGACCACCTAACCTGGACATCTATCTTTCACCACCGATGATGGATGTATCGGAAACGCCGGCAACTTTACATCATGTTTCTTCGAGTGCTGCCACCTCAACAACTACATCTGCCAGTTCTACGGTACGTTGATCAGAATTGCGCGCTAATAACTGTTGAAAATTTTGGTTTGGTTTGATTGAAGTATTTTGCATGTACGTTTCCTTCAGAAAAATGTTCTTTGATTACGTCTGGCATATCTTCATTCCATTTTTTGAATTATTCATTGACTTTTTAATTCCACAAGACAATGAAAGTTTCGCAGTTCACTCAATTGAACTGAGTTCTTTTTTAAAAACTGAGTTTCAGAATGTATCGGTGTCCTCAGGTGGTGCAGCCATGGATGTGGGTGCAACTTTGGGTCCCGTGGGACAAGGTCGTGCAATGGGATATCAATCAGGTTCCACTACTAGTTGTACATCTGTCCCCGATGGATCTGCAGCATCTGGTACTCCTAGCGCACCAGGTGCTGCAACGGGGATGATGTTTCCGGGACAAAGTGGTCCGATGTCGGCGCTACCGGATATAGCAGGGCGAGGTCAAAATAGTGCGTCGCCAAGAGGTGCAAGAGGTAAGTTTTTCATCGTCTGTTACAATGTCATTTCCAGATTTATCATTGTCCTTTTAATTTAAGATTTGTTTTGTCTAAAAAAATTAAATAATACTGGTTATGCAATTATTCTTTTTCATTCATTTTTACAGGTGGACGTCGCAAAGCAACAGGTCTTTCTACTCGTTCTCAAGGTACTACTCGTAAACAGCGGCAGCAACGACAACAAACTGTTGATCAGTTGGCTGTAGCAGCTGCAGCTGCAGCCGCCGCTGCGCAGCAACAACAGCAGCAAATGACTGGTGCCGTTGGTTGTGGCGGTGCAGGTCCAGCGCCTCAACCGACATATCCAGGCACCTGGACCACTGGTCCACAGCAAGCAGGAGTACCGCAACAGTTTGCGTCTGGGCCTTCAGCACCTCCTACTGGTGCTGGGCAACCAGGTAACAAATCAATACCTCTGCGCACAGAACACATGTATCATGATGTTTGATAAAATCAATGGAAGTATTGATTTTGTTAAAATTCATGTTTCATTATGAAATTAGGAATCACTATCATTTCAAATTAGTAGTTAGAGTCAAAATTCATATGTTTGATCTGTTTTTCAATGGCAAACATTCTTTTATTAGCTTATTTTATCTTTTAAAAAATCTTAGTAATGCCATCGACTAACAAAGCTGTTGATTGCTGATAATTTTAATGCACTTATTGATTAAATAACTATGATTTCGTGAGCATTCCAAGAAAAGAAAGCATATATTTTTGCATTCAAATACCTTTTATAAAATATACTTGGACTCATAAAATTAGGAAATTTCAGTTGCTCCAATGAGTACTCAAACGACAGAAGATTCGAAAATGAAGATTCACTCCATGATCCTACAAAAGCGACAGGCACAGGCTGCCAGTGGTGCTACTGCAACGCAGCAAAGCACCACAGGTGGATCTCAGCCAACTCTGCAGGATGTCAACGGTTGGTTTACTGCAGCTACACACTACTAAGCCATCTTTTATTGGATAAGGCTGAAGGCGAATGAAATCCTCAGTCATTCGAATATTATTTCATAGTTCTACAAACTTTTGACAACAGCTTATCATTTTGTCTCACTGTCAAGGCTTCCATCATTCTCATTAGTGCTGTTCCATGCTTTAGCTTATCAAATCTCCGGAGGAACGGTACAGTATGGTGGTAGTATGATAATGAAAGTTGAAACGGGTGCTAGCTCTATGCAAATGACTGATCACACTCAGCAACAACAGCAGCAACAGCAGCAGTATGCACAGCAGCAACAGCTAATCCAAATGCAACAAGGTAAAAGGACATTTCAATTTTTAACACAACCAAAAATCCACTTTCATCTTCCTTTTTTGCATATCTTAATATCCTCCGAAAAGTTTTCTACAAAGGTATGTAAAACTTTGTATTTCCAGACACCCAGGGAGGTTCCCAGTATATTGTACATCATCAACAACAACGGGGTGGTATGGCTTACGGACAACAGTCGATGCAGCAAGCAGCCTATGATTCTCGGTCGGTGTTCGTCCTATTTGTTGTTTTCAAGTTTCTATTCAGTTTTATTCTACGCACATATAGATGTTAATTTTGCATTTTTATGGTGCAAACACGAGGTAAATTAAAGTCATTTCCTTTTATTAGGATCTTTACATGTGTGGAATAAAATTTTAAGAAGACCTTAGGGATTCTTATGCAGGTATCGGCGAGTACTTGTATCCCATAAGGAACCAAATTGCATTGGAAGAAAAACTTCATACTCATTTTAAGAGACTTCAGAAAAAATAACCCGTAATGGTTTTAGGTTCAGCCAGCAGCAGTTGCAATATGGACAACAGCCTCAACAGCAACAACAGTATCATCCACAACAACAGTACTAGAAATTGATAGTTAAGCTCATGAAATTTAGAATCAGAGCCTTTAGAGTTCCAAATTAAAATGAACGAAGTTGGTACCATAATTTTAACATTCAGAATGCGAGATTGGAAACCCTTAATAAAGAAGTGAGTCCTTTTGAGGAGAAAGTGGTTGTTTTCTTTATATTGTGAAGGTAAAATAACCATGCAGATAGGAAGAAGGAATCTATCGATGTCGCAAGCGCACGAAAGCTTACCACCAGTATTTTATTATATTTGGATAGGTAGCAATGGCGATCGAGCTAACATATTTTTGTATAGGATTAAAAAAATTGTTTTTAACTAGTTCTTTCAATATCTCTAAAAATCGTTCTTGTAAAAATACGGTGGGAAAACTTTAGAATAACATACTATAAGTTCATGGAAATTCCTATCATATGTCCTAGAAATTTGCATAATGTTGTATATAAGTTGTATTACTTGATTTAAATGTTTAATTTTTTCATGTTATAGCGCAAAAACATAATTAGTTCGAAAATAAGGAAAAAGCCACACAGTTGTAGAAAAAACTTAAAACACCTTTTCAACACAATCAATGACTATGTAGCTGTTCCTCTTCATTTTATCTACATTTGCTAATATCCATAAAGCTGCAATTGGCCAACTTATACTAACTCATTTTAGATCCTGAAAATAATTTTATCTTAGTTTAACAATGTCCATGGAGGTATTGATAACATCAATACAACGTAAACACGTAACGTGCAAGCATCAACCAATAACATTACACATTTCCACTATAGTCAATTCAGACAAAACTTCACTTTTGACGGGTGTAGTGCCACGTTCCATATTGCCTTTATTATCATCTAAAGTTTTGGACGTGGCGTCTTGGATGAATCGGCTTGCTGATGGTACCTTTATAATAGTTATTTTATCAAAGATTTCCTGATTTAACACAATCGGTAAAAACGTCTCGATGAACTCTTCCGAATAGGGTGTTTCAATGATATCCAGAACTTCTACAGCAAAGTACCTGTAAAACGTGCAACACTTAATTATAATATACAATTCAATAAATGTTATCCAAATTATTAAACATTTCAGTACAATCAAGAATATCGGCAAGATTTTGACGAAGTTAGGTCAGCATTTGGTGCGAACAAGGATAGAATCTCTTTTGGCAGCTCATTTTCGAATTTTATTAATGTCGGGAGATTCTGTGCTCAGAGAGGCCAGTAAAGATGATGATGGGGTCTGGTAACAAGATTTCTTTAAAAATATCGAAATTTCGATCACATCTACCTTACAACAGAGACATCAATTTGCCCTTCCTGAAACATTTTGTTGATCTTTTCGATTACTGGTAATGCAAAGCCAACAGAAAGTAGGTGAACAAAACGATCAATGATGCTTCGTTGCTTAGCGATAATCACTTCTGCTGGTTGTAAAAACTTTGACTGGCGATCATATAATTCACAAAGCATTTTGAATAACCTCCAATCAAAATGGATTTCACGAGAACTGTTGAAGTAAGTCATTATTTAACCTAATGATTCAATAATTTACCAATGAATCTACCATAGGTACAATCAAAGCGAATGGAATTAATGCCGTAACCTCGGGTGGGATTTCAGAGTATCTCGACTGAACAAATGCTTTATAACTAGATTTCAAAGTAAAATGTTCCAAGAAAATCGAAACAATATGTCAATCTGAATTGTCTTGCAAAGAACTATATGCGTAGGTAGAACTGTTTTTCTCATAATTATAGGAATGCTTGTTAGCAGTGTGCTTGTTACTAGAACACCGAAAATTTTGAGTTTAACAACTTAGTTTGATATGTATTTAACTCAGCAAAACTTATCATAATTCGATAAAAGACTGATATTTTACTCTAATCTACTGCATTTTTGTCAAATGATCCAAGCAAATACAGCTCCCGAATTTTGCTTAAATTTTTCTTTCCTCAAGTCTTACTTTTCACAGATGACTACCGTAAACAATATTCGGTGGAGACCTGATATGTAGACCGCAATGTTTGGTTGCAATTTCATCCAACAGAACGAAATGAATCACTTCTAATTCGCAGAGTATTTTATCACTTAACAAAAATCCTTGTAAATAATACAGCAATCCACTAGCAATTGATGGAAATTCAATGCCTGAAAGTTTTTTTAATTTGAACCTCCGATTATTCGAATGAATAATAACTTCCAATCCAAATTTGAGTCTTTTGATCACTTATTTTCAGTCCATCAAACTAATTGACAGTTTTGATGGCTAATAATTTTTTTGCGAGGTTCTATTCTCCCAATTATAAAACCTAATGTATTATGTGGATAAGCTAATTCCAGCGTATTATTATTTTGATGGAAATACTGCAGCTGTATTTAAAAATGTCTATAAAAGGATTTTTTTTATTACGAATACAATAATGGGAAAGAAAATCATACCACTGAGTAACAAAGTGATATCTTTTAAAGATTCGCGTTCCGATCTTATATTATCCAAAATCTTTTCCATGATTTCTTTTGTTTTCTTTATTTCTTCCTTAATTTGATGGAAACATCAATTATGATTAGAGTTTGAATATGCTACCCTGAATATATTATGATATTACTAGACCAATGCAATACTCATGAGGAAAAATGTATGATGCAAAAATATGTCACTGCTCGTGTACACTCTTGTAAAATGAAACAATTTTTCGAAATAAACAATCAGGAAAATTTGAATAGAAATGAATTAATTACGAGATAGAGGATCTTACATTTTCCCTATTGTTGTTTGCATCATCGGAAGTATGACAAGAAGCATAGCACAATAGAGAGATGTATTTCGAGCGATGATTGGACTGAATCTGGAACATTATCAGATAATTTTGGAAGCAATATACTATTCATTTAGAACCTGTTCTACTTAAGAGGTAAGCATTGAAGTCGAAGTAATCGTGTTAAATATAAGATCAGATTATGAATTATGAATTTAAATAAAATAAAATACAAAAGAAAGGTATTGCATAACCTGAATTATACGAATTAAAAAAATATTTCAGGTAATTCTTGTGTGAAAGTTACGCTTTTCTATTATTCTATTTTCCAATGAATATGAATCTTATTGCAATAACAATAAAAGCAATAACTGAAAGACAGACCCTGTTTCCTTTATATGCAAATAAGGTATCGATAAGCATATCGACAAAAAATGAATCTTGGATAAATTCAATAGATGGTGGTTTCAATGAACTGTAGCGCTGAAAAAGAGCAGGAGAGAATGAAAATCAATTGATTTGGTAAACCTGTTTCTAGTGAATTAACTAAATAATAAGTATAATAACCCTGCAAGATTCTGATTCGTTAACTGTTAATAACAGTTATCTCTTGGTTGGATTGCCAACGATTACTATTTATAGGGACAGAATAAAATGATAAGTACTGTATGCATAAAAAAAGAAAATAAGGAAATAACATTAAGACGATATTAGTCTATTTTCAGATGATAACTAAACAGGAATAATTGATAATATCATTAGTCTTCCCAAGTACATATTAAGAAGTGAAGAATCTAACTAAGACAATATGCACATAAATTTTAGAAAAACTAGATGATCTTTTTCTTCTTTACAGTAGCATGAAGATGCGAAATACTGGATGAGGAAGGAAAGGAGATGAATTAGATGATCTTCAATGAAATTATTTAGATTAAATTTTCAAAGAAGTTACATTAACCCCATACAATTTAATGAAATCAACTTACTTCATAGAGACGAATGATATCAGCTTGATTTAAGCATTTCTTACTGAGCATCGTATAAACGCTTTGCTTTACCTCATTATCACTCCCATCTATGGAAAGATGAATATCATGCGTATCCTGATAATTATGCTTATGTGCTTCACGACGTAACATTAGCGATAAACATGTACAAGCTGCTGCTGTTTCATTCTTTTCCTAAAAATGAACATCGTTACAGAAAATCGAGTATTTGATCGAAAGAAAATAATACGGAATTTATCAAGGTATAGAAAATTACGTCTAATTTAGGATGAAGACGAAGCACTTTCGTGTATTTTAATTATCTAAATATTAGGCGTCATTTTCATAATAATTGTTAGCAGCTATGATGTTCATAAAGATCACAGCTACAGGCCTTTTTTAGACAGCCTTCACAATCACTTATCTGCATCAGTGTGTATAATGTTAGTTTATTTAGACAGTTTTACTCATTGCAACGCTAAAATTATTCACATACTCCAATATCACTCATTCATTACAATTCATTTCAAACAAACCTCTTTAATAATTTCATGCAAAAGGACTTGTGCAAACAAATAAGTATGCTCACTATAGCAAACCACTCGAGCTAATTCCGCAAATGCCTTTTCATAATCTTCTGTCATTGGTCCTTTTTTTTGCTTTATGAAAAAGTCATCAATCGCAGTCAGCACCATACGATAATAAATTTCAAGCTATAAAAGTTACTTTAATACAAATAACCAAATTAATATTGATAAGCTAGCCATATCATTTGCAACATGTTGGCCAATCAATGTCATTGTACGTTCAGAGTATCACTCTAGCAGATAAAAACATCTACCTGTTGAGCAGCTGGATAAACACTTGTAATTTCATGTTGAAATCCACTCTCTGATATTATTTGAATTGACTTCATTAAAAATTTCGATCGAGAATTTTGTTCAATAAGTGTATAAATTAAATTGCGCCATATCCTACAAGGCTCTTTTTTCCCTTCAATTTAAGTTTTTCTATGATTTTTGGAGTAAATAAAAGTGATTAACTTTTGATTTCTTTATCATTCTTAAGCTACTCATATAATACTACGCATACAATGAATTTTAGAATTTTAGTTAAGTACTTGAATTTATGAAGATTGCGATTATTATTAACCTGTGCTGCAATAATTCCGGCAACCATTTATCCACATCGTCAGCGGCTTCAAAATTTTTATCGACAACTTCAGCCACGAAACGTTTCTCAATTAATGAGCACAAACTTTTTTCGAAACATTCATAAACGATTTGTCGATCTCCTTCCAGATCAGACAACCAGTTACCAACTAATTCGCAGTACTATAACATTTTAGTCAATTAACTGTGATGAATAATGATATTTTTTCCTAGAGCTCGTAATATAAGCGATATATTGTCCATCTGACTATTAGATATCGAATGCTACTATGAAAGGAAATGAACACCAATGAGTTCAATACAACAGCGATTTTGTTCATCCTGAAGTGATATGATCACGCCTGTCACCATATTGAAAGTCCAACATAAACCGACACTATTTAGTTTGTTGCATTCCACCAATATTTGATTAACGTGACCAGCGTCCAACATAAATTCAAGAACAGCAAAGAGCACCTGAGCAACACCACGATAGCTATTGGAGAGAGAAGTGATAATCACTTCTGGTTGACCGCCAACTCTTAAAAATTCTTTGATAGTTGCATCGATATTTGGTTCCATTATCGAATCCGGTGCTATAAATGAGATATAATATGAACTGAGAACGAATGTAGAAAAATGGGATACTTGGAAGAATATTTTCATCTCACATCCGTTAACACTTACATCATTTTATACATTGATGTATAGATGGTGTAGATAATTGAAAATAATTGAAACATGAAATTCAAAGAAAAGAAAGATACCTTGAAGAGTTTTCCGGTAATCTTCCAATAGAAGATCCTTTGTCTTCCGACCGCTGTAATAATCATAGTCATCATCACTACTATCAGCTCGACTTAAATTATAACTGCTATTACTAGCACTACCCATAATAGCAGTTGTAGAAGTAATAGTACTAGTAATAGTACTTGTCTTTTTTCCACTTCCTTCTGCTACGATTTTTTCTGCAAAATAAGAAAAAAATTGAATATTTGAAAATCATCTAAAATAGGAAAAGAAATTCTGCAATTTTCACCGATAAATGTTTTGATAAAGAAATATCAAAATTTTCAAATATCGTATCCGACTGAACATTTTCAACATATTGGAACAATGAAAATACAAATCTAATACGTAGATTGAAACGAATATTTTAACCTTATCATGTATGAACTAATCATACATACTTAAAATTACTTTGTTTAATTTATGAGCTGTGTGCTACAATTAATTTAGTAATGCAAAGATTCAAAAATCAACATAATTATGACAGAGAGAATTTATCAAAATTTCTAGTTATTATAATAAATAACTGTTTAAAAATTTACCGATAATCTTTGAAGGAATTGTTTGATTGCGATCACCAGTTGATGATATTGAACTTTGCGTATCATCGTCGTCTATTTCCATCTTAAAAAAGGAAAAAGTTTTTATTCCAAATTTTGATCAAACTTAACAGAATGTTTAAATTTTTCTAAGGAAGAAATAGTTATGTCATCTTCATTGTTATAAAATAATATCAGAGAAACATTTAGAAGTAATGATAATGACATATGAATTTGCTTAACAATTACTAGATTACAGCAACAGTCGAGAGAGATATATCCAGTATATCTTATATCTCCCCGTATCCTATATTCATTACACCTCTTTTACTAACGTGTTATACGTGACCTAGATGTAATAGAAGACAAGAACGCAACACACTTTTGACATCCTCTCATCTCACGCATTCATACAATGCCACTATAGAGAATGGGACGAACATTCTGTGGGGAAAAATGAACAACAGAAATTTGCATAAAATAAGGAAGGGAAGAAAAAGTGAGAAGAGTTGGAATGATTTCCTATAAGGATTAGGTATGATACGTCAAAGGATTTAAGGATGTTATTAATGGTAATTAGTGCTAATTATTGCTCACGCATTTGACGTATACGAATCAGTTATCACAGTATTTTAAATTTAGGCTACATTAATCCATTCAGCCTATACTGAATTTAGTCTAGCAAAATATAGTTATACAATTGCATTTCATTGGATGTAACGTAATGTTGCAATTTTAGGAGTTCACGCATGTTTTTACATATGAGCATGTTATTGTGACGTGATGGAACGTCAAAACGTATTACATCTAATGTTTTACTATTTCAAGGTGGTTAATTAGTCAATCAATATATATGTTTGTCAATATATAATTAAATTCGAATTGAACATAATTTTATCAGACCTTTCTAATTGAGAAAAAAATGCAAACGACTCATTATTTTGAACTTAACTATATATAACTTAGCTATATAGCTTGACTATAGTTAACACGACAGAAACATGAAGTGTTCGTAACAGTCTACCGCAATGTAATCATACAGGAATAATAAGAGTTAGCTATCATTCATTGATGATGTCATGAATATATATATTCATTGTACAATACTGACATACGGTCGGATTTCAAAATTCATTTTAAATGCCATAATTGTTTGATTGGAATGTATTTGTCAGTATTGTTAGAAGCTTAGCGGTTTGGCCTTCCGTAGGCTCTATGATAACACTGAAGCGAGAAATTGGATATGAAAGTAAGGAGCGAAGTTAGATATACTTACTACGATGTATTTACTTCCTAGAAATACTAAGCTAGATATACTTATTTCCCAGATATACTTAGCTAGACATAGTTGTTTCCACCGATATTATTTTTCCGAAATTATTCACTCGGTCTTAGATTTCTCTTTTGAGTGACCGAAGAATGTGGTGTAATGTAAGATCAGATGTCTTTCTCAGACATTTCAGTACAATTCTCAAAAGGCATTTTAGCCTATTGAAGAACAAGCATTCCAAACAAATAACAGTGATAATTTCAGTGACTGAATTAAACGGTAAAATTAGATTACTGGCTTTTTGAAGCTTTTTGTTGCTGTGATTGATTCACAGGTAACGTGTGATGCCATTTTACGCATACGTCAAATAACCCGTATATGTCTGACGATTTAAATTTGAATTTTTTTAGTAGAACGCTAAATTATAATTTTAGATTTGAACAATCATGTCATCAGATCGTTTTAAACGTAAAGAAATTAGAACTTTAAAACAACGATGGATAATGTAAGGCTATAATTCTTTTAATTTTTCCTAACATTCTATCATAATTAAGCGTAATTAAGATGTATTTCTTTTTTGGCATCTTTTTTGGTATATTATATCATAGCATATTTTTGTGCATCGAATGATAGAATTGAAGTAACACTGAGAGATAATCGATATTCGATTTTCCTTCAGGAAACACAAAGATCGTGCGGATGATATACCAAACTGTCCATCTATCGAAAGTATTGTTAATATGCCAACGCCTAATGAAATTTCGTTCGTTCATTTCTTTGTTTTTATCTTTAATTTCTTTTAATTCGTAGTAATCTTAGACAAAAAAATTTATGATCATAATTACATATCAGCTGATCATTTATCACTTCAAGATAAAATTTTTTGAGTTATCATATCATATTTCACATTTCATTATCTTCACTATGATCAAAATGCTAATATGCTGGAGAATTTATCAGTGAAAAAAGAAATTGAAACATTGATATGATTAAAGTTAGGGATAATGAAATATCTAAATAGACTACTTAAAAATGTAAAACATAAACGAATTATTTTCTTTCTTGTTTTAAAAGATTCTTTATTCACTTTTTTTTTTTCTATAAAAATAATTGATACATTTATTAGATCAATCGAGAAGATAGAAATCAGTAATACTGTTGATGATTCTACGATATCAAATGCTAAATTATCCGATAATACAATGCAACAGCAAACGACAAGCAGTAAATCCTTTCCTATTACGCTTTAAATAAGCAAAAATTATCAGTATAGGTGGAGAGGATATTTAACCTTTGACATATTTATCTCCACAAATTGTGAATCTCTTCTCAATTCTTACTGGATAAATTTTTTTATCACTGTATAGTTGATTACCTGTGCTAGCAACAAATCATTCATTTATTCAAATTATTCAATATGATTTGCAATTTTTTCTTCTGATTGGTTTTATAAAGAAAGGAAATATTTTGGTACGAAATATTTAAAAATAATTCCGATGATCTTACTTGAAAGTTCATGTTTGTCCACACCTTTCTTTTTCTTTAAATCGAATCATTTAATAATATTACTTATTATTTGTCACTTTGATATGCAGCAGGAAGAGAATTAAAATGCTGAAGAAGGCTTGATCTTCTTCAGAGTTAATTGAAGCGCAAATATCACAATAATACAAATCTGAAATTTATCCTCTTGCTTAAGCTAATACCGCTCTTTGAAACCTATATCATATAGAAAAAGACGGCATATATGTCAAAAAAGTCTCTCTATCGAATATACGAAAGATTAAAATTAAGCTGAATTGAGCTGGGCAAGAAAATTCCACAAAGTCGACAACCACCACTCATGAAACACCCATAATACCGAAACGGTTAATGCGACATTACCGCAGACAATACAGACATCGCGGACGATCTCAAAAAAGCAGCAGGCGTCGTACATCAAATACATCAAATACAGATTCATCTATTTCAAGGTCAGTTCCTGAAGTAAACAAAAGAATCAAAGCGAAGTGATCGGTAGTTATTAATTAATAAAAGATTGATTACAGTAGATCTATAAATCAGTTCTTACCTGAAGAATATATTTAACCATAAAAAATTATTCCTTATCCTTAGTGATGCTAGCAATAACCTAAAAATTTTTTCCACTTTCAATTGGTCTCTTTTGATTACAGTAGCCAAATTGCTATTCATGGTACAGCTTCCGAAAGACGTGATGATATCCCGATGTGTCCAGATATCGATAATATCTGTGAACTTGATCAAAGCGAATTTGAGTTTATTTTTACACCTACTGATTGTAAAAAATTTATTGAAGAGAAAAATATCTGATCTAAGGAGTGGCATATTTTACTTGAAAATTTTCATCTTCCACTTACTAGATGATATTTTAGCAGGAATTAAAAGATTTAATGAATGAAAAAAAAAACATACTGTCATTAACCTCTACCAATGTTATATATAATTTGATAGAATCATTAATACTAATAGGATTGTATTTTTTAGTAGTTGAAATTGTTTAATTGCTAAAATAATTTCCAGTCTCCGATTATTAGAATAATTATTGGATTGTATTTTTTTAGTAGTTGAAATTGTTTAATTGCTAAAATAATTTCCAGCTTCCGATTATTAGAATAATTATTAAAATGATCGAACTCTTTTGGTCATAAATAATTCCATTTCTAAAATTTCTAATAAATTTGAAATTGAAAATTGAAAATTTAATTTCATTATGCTTTTTTGTATTATTTTATAGTGATGATATGTCTGTTCATCGATTTTCTCATGCATTCAATCAATTACTTGATGATTCTCTCCTTCTTTTAACCAAATTTGTACAATTGTTAAAGGATCATCCTGTAAGTATCATTTAGTATCAAAATCACTTTGTAAGTATTACTTACCACTTATCAGTATCAGTATCACTTGCCATTTCATTTTATCATAAAATGCTTCTTTCATTTATCTCAGAAGTGTTATCATTGTTGACAACAAACAGCCAATTAAAACGTTTATTATCATTTATCTTTTTTTTTAAAATTTTCAATCAATGCAAAATGCTTTTATAATTTAAAATAAATATGGTATCCGGAAAAGCCGTAGGAATATGAAGTGTCCAGAAAAAATCCGAGAATATAAGCCGAAGTTATATGACAATTTATAAATCATATAATAATTATTCTTTAATCCAACTTTTTTTCAATTCATTGTTTTTTTTCTCGCTATTTAATTTTAATTTTTTCCCTTCCAACTATAAAGTTTAATTATTTTATTAAAATAATTCTCTCTAATTAACTTTTGAAGTGTTATTAGTAGCAAGAGAGATCGATGAATAAAATTTCTTGAATTTGATAAGAATAGCATATCTTTTTACTGTTCCGAGAAATATTGATAGATGATAGTGTTTAGCACTGATTTATAACTATTTAAAATCCAATAAGTTAATTTATAAATCAAGAGAGAATTATTTTAATTCACTTATAATATGATAATATGATAAGAGCGGCATATCTTTTTACTGTTCCATGAAATATTGATAGATGATAGTGTTTAATACTGATTTGTAACTATTTAAAATCCAATAAGTTAATAGAATGTTGAAAATAATGGTTAAAGGTTAAAATTCAAAATGATCATGGAGAGCATTGGACATTTTTCTTCATTTATATTTGACAGTTCTTTAGCATAATTATTAATCTTCACTATAATGTGATAATATCTAGGATGATTACTTGATATTTCTTAATCTGATAATTTTAGCGTCCTGCAACAATAGCAGGTTTTATTGTTGCCAGCTATTTGATCATTAGTTACTTGGAGCTTTCTATTGCGGCACTTGTTGAATTGATTGCGCAATCTATTTGGCCAATATCCCATGCTATACTTCTGTTCATCGAACGTTTTTCCATAAATTTTGGCTCATTTATGCATTCCTCCGATGATATTATTAAGGTTAGTAATTAATTGAATATTCAATCCATAAAATATCTCAATTCATCTAAACCAAAAGCATAGGATAATGGCGATAAAGCGCAAAATTTTATAAACCTCTTCCAAAGTTTAATTAGATTATTTTGGTTTATTTAGATATAAATTTATTAAAACATTAAATGATTTCTTAATTTAGCTAATTATTCCTATAAATTGTTGTTATCATAATTATTACATTTTTATCATTATTATCATAGGAAGTAATTTACTTTATTAATACCTATTTTTGTTTACGTAATCGATCATATGATAATGATTAGGAATAAGAATTGAAAAATGGTAACTGATTGTTGTAACAATCATAATATTTGATATCGATCATCATATTGAATATTGGCAATGATACGGTTAATGGATATAGATGGATTATGTAATAAAAAGTATAATCGCTGATAATATTTTACATTGCAAGTGATAATTGTTAATAATGACAAGAAAAATATTTTGCAGGGTGCATACTGTGATATAGCAGAGATTTGGTGCAAACATTTTCAGATGATGTGTGCTGATCGGTGCTCATTTTTCAGTATGGCAGTGGAACGATTAAGAACAAATTAAAATTTTAATTTTAAAGAAACATAAGAATAGGACCAGAAGGAACAATTTGTTCTCCGTTTACTGATAATTTTTATCGGCACTATAAAAATTATCGCCTCATTGCCATCATTTATTTTAAAATAAATATTTCCAAATTGATCGATATGGACTAATTAATCTTCAAATCCATTAGATGGATTTATAATTGTAAAATTCATGAATCCATGTTCAAAAAGTTGTATTCGTTTCCGATCAATAATTTACTCGTTTTCCGATCAATAGATTACTTCATCCCGTTTTCCGATCAATAGTTTACTTCAACCCGAGAAAGTTATTTTTTTGTATTCCTAATATGTTTTTTGTTTTTCATATAAATTTTTCAGATCGGATTTGTCTAATTAGTAAAGTAATGCAAAAATAATTTATAAATTAATTTTGTCAGAACCATGCTAGTTACTGTATCTGTTATTTATCACAGAATTTTAAGTGACCCTAAAATTTTGTTTTTCATATCGATGAGGCATTAGCGCAAATGAGATCGTTTAAAAGCGCAAATGAGATCGTTTAAAAGAAACAATGCCTTTTTGCGCAGTTTTAATAAAGGAAATCATGATAAAATAAAGTATCACGAAATTAATTTTCTGTTACTAAAATTCTCGAACAATTGAATAATTTCGAAAGATAATTATTATATCATCGAAAGAAATTTCATTACTGTCAAAACATATTGAATGAATGATTACAATGACCTTCATCTGTCATTACTGCTATACTTTGTCCGCATAAATATTTAGAAAATTATTTCAGGTTTAAATTTTCCATTAACTATTTTCCAACTCATATTCAACATATTATAAAAATGCAATAATTTCTACCAAAATTACATTCCTTCAAATTTTTAATGTTAAGAATAACACCGTTATTCTTCCACTTCCCTGCTAATTATCTGATTTCATTCAGTATCAATTTCTATTTTATTGATTTCATAGTGATCATCACTGATAAAATATATTCAGAAAACATGAAAAGGAATGAATGACAAATGAGAGATAATGGCCTTTATGATATATCATCTAATATAAATGGCCTTGAAATATTGCCGATAATGGTAGTATTAGTAAATTTACTGAAAGAAATGAGAGGAAAGTTGCTAATTAAGTAAGATTATAGTTCCATTAATTCAATGGTAACATCATTATCAATAATTTACTTCATCTATTTCGACGGTACAGCTCTTCTACCGTTTTTCATTTCATCGTTCTTTCCGTCCGCTTCTTTCTGCTCCATCCTTCAAATTATTAGTAATCCTTATTATCTTGATATTTCTTTTACTTTTAATAATAATTTTTGCTTTATCGATTTTTTTTCTGGAAGTCAAAATAACAGAGATATATATCAGTAATTATTTTAAAATATCACGATATCGTTAAATTCGATTAATTGATATTTCATTTATATTTCGATTAAGATTCTTTTCTCTGTTTCTTTTTCATCATTTCACTCTCATATATTACTTATATCACGTAACATTACAAAATGCATGAATATTAGCCTAAAGTAAAATATTAAAAATTTTAAAATTTATAGAAGTATTAATTTTAAGTGACATTAAATTTGGGGAAATTCTAAGTTACTGTTGAGAAATCGAATAATTACAATTATTACCAGATGATTTGATTGATGAGTGTAAGAATGGCCTATTTGACAATCAAATTTCCAAATAGAAGAAAGGTAAATGGGAGATGATAGGAAGACATCTGAATCACTTTTACTTCTCATTTTTCGCTCTATCAAATATATATATATATCTTTCCTTCTTCAGTATTTAATTATACTATTATCAATCATCTATACTTCTTTTGTCAATTATCTGTAAAAATAATTAATATTATAAATCAAAACAAAACTATATCATAAGTTTTAAAAATTTCGTTTTAAAATTTATGAAAATTTTTTAACTGAAATTTTTACTACAATTCAATTTATTCCGAACAATTAATTAATTTTAATTATCTAATCCCTTTTTTACCTTGCGTTCATTTCGAGATTATTAGTAAAATTGTATAAAAATAAAATTCATATCTCTACTTATTTAACTATCTGGTAGAAAAACACTACGAATGATTTTTCTTTCACGCAAGAACCGGTTTTCAAAAATATTTCTGCGAAATCGCCCATTTTCACTCGCTTGCGAGAGTACCATTCAGATAGAATGACATCGTTGATTTCATCTACTCTTTGGGCCTGTCGCAATGCATTTGTCAATGATGAAAATTCTGCAATTGTCGATATTAATTCATAGATTTTTAATCGTTTTTTTTTTCATTAATGATTTCCAAATTTTTTAAAAATGTAATACAAAAGATGTGATAATGATTCTTAAATTATCCAGCAGTATTCATAGAAAATCATAAATTAAAATTTCTAGTTATATCTCTTTAAATTAATAAAGAATTAATTTTATCATTGCATAATCAAGTTTTCTAGTATAGATGGATTATGTAATAAAAAGTATAATCGTTGATAATATCTTACATTACAAGTGATAATTGTTAAATTTCTGGTTACATCATTTTAAATTAATAAAGAATTAATTCTTAGCATAATCAAGTTTTCTAGTATAGATGGATTATGTGATAACAAATATAATCGTTGATAATATTTTACATTACAAGTGATAATTGCTAAATTTCTGGTTACATCATTTTAAATTAATAAAGAATTAATTCTTTATCATAGCTTAATCAAATCATAAAATGATGGATGTTTGTTTTCGTATCTTAGAAGAAATGCCTTATATGTTGCTCGTATATATTGTTTAAAATTATTCGTTAACAAATAAATTAATTTTCCAGAATTTCAATTTAACTCTTCAACTATTATCGAGAAAGCAATTGTTTATGAAATATTTGAATACGTATTTCAACATTCATTGTTTCATCAATGGCTACAATGAGGTTGGTATCATTTAACATATGTTGTCGGATTTAGAAAGCAGATGGACGTTCTTTTTCTTAATTCCGGGAGCTCTAAAAGACAGCTTATTTATTTTAAGTGTTAATCTAACTCATGATCTGTATATGGTTATACTGGTGTATACACAACTATTAAAAATATGTTGTATTAGGCGATCTGATAGTTTGGTTAACTTTTCACGTACATTCATCTCTTCACAATATTTTAAATTTTAAGAATAAAGGAAAAGCTTTGAGCGGCTAACAACATCTTCATATTTTTGGATTTTCGTAAGTTGAAATGTTTTATTCAAATTTATAACGATCTGCTTATTTGGAAAACTATTACATAAATCTGAAATATAATTTAAAAATCACTTTCTTTGTTGAATTCCTTTTTTTGCAATCTCACGAAATATGTATTCTTAGATACGAATGCGTATCAAATTCGGCGGATTCATTAGCAATAATTGATCAGACAAGTGTTTATAATGCGGAACAAATCGATGATGCCGCTCTAATTACTATTAATAATGATAACATCGATCATATCTTCATGGATGATATTACTTGGCAAAATATCTTTCAGGATACACGATATTCACAAAGACAACAACGATTTTGTATAGGTATGTATAGTAAATATTCAACTTTATTGTTCTTTTAAATCAACTAATAACAAACTAATTGAATTTTATTTCTTTTAAAAATTTTATGAATCACCTTTTTGTTTTTTTTAAATTAGTTTCGTAATTTTCAGGTTTTCTCATTTCAATGATTTGCATAATGTTGATTCTTTTGATTTCATTATTTTCGGGTTTTGGTAAAGTTATTTTCAATGTTGTTGCATATCAGGAAAAATCACGTCATGGTAAATAGTATTATTACACGTTTTTTGATTTAAGAAATTTATCATTATTAATCAATTAACTTCTATTATGATGAATAATTTTAAAATGATTGTGTAAATGTGATTTTGTAATTCGTGGATAAAATTGATACGATAAATTAAGATGGCTGTAAATCTCTACGACGTTCTTTTTCTCCTAATCATTCCTTTTTTTTTAGGCCTTATGATGATACCAAATATTCGGAAACGACCGCTTAATATATTTTATTTTAATATACGAAATGAAACAGCAAATGAGGAGTATGTAAAAGAAATAGATGAATATCTTTCAAGTAAGCGATTTATTAATTCTTTAAAAAATTGCTGACAATATAATATTATTTGTGAATTCTTCATTAGCATTTATTATTTTATTTCCTTTTTAATTATTCAATATTATTAATAGATTTGCTACCTGACAGCTTTTCTAACAAAATGAAGCTGCAAGGCTTATTCATATTCATATATAAATAAAAAACTTTTTAGCAATTTCCTTTTTTATAATTTATTTGAAAATTATTTAAACTATCAAGATTAATCAACAATTTACAATGATAATATGACTATCATACTCTAATGATTATATATCATTTGTTCAGCGATCAGTTATTAGCATCCTGAATGTAAATACTTAAATCTGTCAATTATCACCGATAATTTAAGTATCAAACAATGTAAGTGATCATTAATGATAATTACATTTACCATCGAATTTGTTTGATTGTTTCAAAATAATTTAATCTCCCCCTAATTATATTATCTTATAGAATATGCTGAAAATCAAGAAATAATGAGAGAATTTCTGAAGATTTGTACGATAGAGGAACAAAGCGATAAGAAACGTTGGTGCTCATTTGATATTCAACAACAATTTCATTCCGATTGTTCCAAAACAACTAATTACGGCTATAATTCCGGCAATCCATGCGTGCTATTCATTTTTGATAACGTTAGTAAATTTCTAACGAAATAATATCACTAATTAATTTATTCCAATAAAACAATTAAATTGATTGTTTTTTTTTTCTTTGAATGAATTTAATTCGAATGAAAATTTTCGATTGAATATTTTTACAATTCTGTCCTTTTAAATTTTCCATTCTATCATTTTTATTTATTCAATTTACTCCAATAACGCTTATCTTCTATCATTTTTTGATAGATGCAACTGTGATAAGAGTGATAAGAGTATCATTCAAGCTTTTTAATTTCTTATTATTTTAAATGTACTCTATCTGACAGTTTTTTTTTCATCGATCAAATTTTAGATAATTTACTAACGCTAAAAATTATAAATGCAAATGTTGCTAAATTTCAATCCTTTCCAAATAACTTCATTTATAATAATGTGCTTAAAATACATACCTAAAAGTTTTATTTATATTTATAATGGAATAATGAAAGAAGAGATGATATCTTAATTTCCATCTTTATATTATAGCGATTGGGTTGGAAGCCTAATATGAAAAGTAAAACGGATTATTTGCCATTCTTTTGTCGCATGGTTAGTTAATTATTAAAAACTTTCTTTTGTTTAATTGCATTTTCCTAATATGAAAAGTAAAACGGATTATTTGCCATTCTTTTGTCGCATGGTTAGTTAATTATTAAAAACTTTCTTTTGTTTAATTGCATTTTATTTCAAATGAAATATATTAGAATGTCATTTCTGTTAGCAAAAATGCGGAACTATTCATTTGTTGCAATGATATATGAAGGAATGTTAGCCAATACATTATCACTTCACTTGAATTATCTATTCAAATACTAACAGATCTAAACAGATCAATTATGATTTATTTAAAATACTAACAGATCAATTGTGATTTATTTAAAATACTAACAAATCAATTGTGATTTGTTGAAAATACTAGCAGATCAATTGTGATTTGCTGAAAAATTTACTGCACAGATTCTATGAAACTTCTGATTCGCAAACTCTTTAGCATTTCAAACTTTTAATATATCATACAGTTCGAGATATTACTAACAATTGAAATTTTCAGCAATATCGATATTCTTCAAACAGTTATACGAATATCACCTACTATCCATCGCTGCCAACATCAATGCGTAACGGTGGTTTTCAAATGAATTTGATACCAAATCAAAAAATTACCGATAATGATGGTAATGAAATTATTGGAAAAGATGGAAATATTCTTTACACTTTACCACCATTGGTATTTTTATATTATATTAATAATATTTCTTATCATAACATAAAATAGAATATAAAAAGATCATACAATTAATAATTTTTTGTTAATTATTCTCATAAATTTTATGTTCGATATTTCTATTTGATAAATGTTTTAATTTAATAAACGAAAATTTGCATCCATAATTGGTACATTCATTGATAAGGAAAAAGTGATATGAGGAAAACATTTACAGATATCATAAATCGCAATACTGATATAAATATCTGTCAGTGCAAAAACTTAATTTTGGATTTTTTTAAATGTTTAATTTAGGTAATGGCAAAAATGACATTTCGGGATGCGTTAGAACAAAATGGAAACGGTGATTTGGGTCCATTTACGATGGACTGTCGAATAAAAGATAATGTGGTTGGATATCAGTTTGATAATATTCAAAGTTTCAACGGCCAAACAGCTATTTCTTTTGACTTCGTCCCACAATTTTCATGAATCTGAAAATTCTCTTCAAAGAAGTGAAATTAAAATGTAACTCATCTCGTATTAAATCGATCAACGCCTGATCTATCTACACCAAAGTGGTACTGCAGTACTGTATCGATTTTTAGGATATTATTAAAGAATTAATTTCACCTACTATTTTCGAATTAGATAGACATTTTTAAGATGTATTAAAACTGAAATTAATTTATTTCTTTTTCGTCACTCTTATCTTGTTTGTCTAACTTATATTTAGGCTATAGTTTGAGGTCGAATAATAACTTCTCTTATCTATTTCAACATTTTTTAAAGATCACAGTCATATTTCAACTGTTTTCAAATACTAAGTAGATTGATTACAAAATTGAAATATGCAATGTTTTAAAAAGTTTTTTAAAGCAACCTACCTGAAGCTAATTTCACCTAAAATCTTAACTTCCTGAAGCTAATTAGTTATTTGCTCAATTTTTCAGGAAATGCATTACACATCTTGTTTATTTGCTAAACTAGAAGAAGAACAGCTATTTCAAAGCTTAATGTATATTATAATTATCTTAAGCTTATAGCTATCATATAAACAAAAGTTTCCTTTTTTTTTTTCTGTTTTTGGATTATTTTGCTATTCAAATGATAATATCTTTGTTATAGTGCAACAATAATAAATATAATAATTATTATTGTACGACAAAAATACTACAATTCTTGATAAGAAAGAAAATTAATGAATTAATCTATGAACAACATAAAACAATGTAATTATCAAATGTTTAAATAATTTAGAAAGAAAAAAGAAAATCTCATTGCACGATCAATAAATGATAAAAATGTTTCCTTAATTTTTAAATGAAAATATTTGAAAAAAAGAAGGTATAAATGATATCAACGATGATAAAAGACAAAACTTCTGTGAAATTTCACATAAAATACACAAATTTATATTAAATTATATTAGTTAACAGCTAATTAAATTCATTAAAGAAACAAATATATTAAATTGCTTTCAAATTTTTGCAAAGAATTTGCAAAGTTGAAAATTTGCAAAAAAAATGAAAATGAATTGAAATAATTTTTCAACATAGTATCGAAACATTTAATCAAATCATTGCTGTTAAGTTGTTAAATCAAAAAAGTTACTAAAAAATTGTTGAATCGAACAAAATCTCTTAATCATTCATTTTTAAACTTTCATGAAACTTACAGCTATTAAGGATTTCTGAATTTATCATTAATTATCATCCTACGATCTTCTATGCTATATAATTTCTCGATTAGTTTCATACAAAAATATCGCTTAAAATCCAATTAATATAACAGAAAAATATTAATTTCTAAAAAATTCCAAGATAAATGATAAAACAATGCCTTTTTTTCTAAATTAGAAAGTTAAAACATAATTAAATTTTTAAATAAAACTAAACACTGGCCGAATACTGAAATCATTTTAACTTCATGAAATTAAAGGAATAATAGAGATCGGTTTACATAAACATTAAAAGAGACACTATTTACTTCTTATAGTCTACAGCAATAGAACACTATCACAAAGTTGCATACTTTGAACAGAATACTAAAGTTGCAAAATATTGAGATCTACTGCTATGCCTGAAAAATTATAAAATGATTAATAACTAGCAAGTTAAATTCGAAAAATATGATAGCGATATTTTCATATTATGATAATGATAGAGATATTATCATATTATCACTAATTAAAAGGATTTTGAAAATAAAAATATTGCATAAATCTATCGTAGTATTATCACTTATAACTATCTTACAACGGCATAATTTTAAACAATTCATTATATTTCATGCTTTATTCATTATATTCATTATATTACATTTAATGTTTAATTCATTATATTATGTTATCATTGCTTTTGAATTAATATTTTTTCAAAAGAGAAATAAACCTAAAATTAGAAATGAAATAATGATATATAAAATGGATGGAATATTTTGTTACTATGAAAGTTTCATTCTGATACTTCATTCATATCAGATAAAATCTACAGTATAATTAATTACTATGATCAAATATAGTAATTAAAAACCTAATTCGTTTTAAAAAAATTTACCAGTTCTTGAACACTTCGGTGAATTCTTTTTTACTGAATTACTGCAAATGTTATTGTTATTATTAATATTATTGTTGTTGTTGTTGTTTTTGTTGCTAATATTACCAATACCATCCATACTTTCAAGCATCTATATAACACATCATTGCTTATATAGAAAAATTAAAACAAATAATATTCAGATTGTTAAATCATAATCGTATGTAAGAGAAAATTATATGTAATGTGTAGTTTTTGAAAGATAATTAGACGTAATTCGTGAACGAATTTCATATTCTAAAAATAACTTCTGTACCTGTTATCACTCCCGAAACTTAGATAAATGAGGTTCGTAAGTATTGGAGTTGAAAAAAATGAAATTTAAATAATGAATTAATGATTGTAAAGAGTGTAACCGATTGCTCATCATCAACAGCGGTTGTCGAACAATCACTTTCTATCACACAACCACTATCGGATGTCGAAGAATCAGTCATGCCACAAATAGATAACGAATGATATTCGATGCTCGGTAAACTATCTACCGAAGCAGATGGCTGTTCTCCGATTGTTGTTATTGATAACAGTGGCATGTTTCCGTTATAATCAACACTTGTTCCTTGTACACGGATCATCTCACGTAGATGACGTTGGAAACTATGCGTATCTGCTCGCTCAAATTTAACAAAAAATTATCAAATTAAGTAATTTCTCAATTTGAAATAGCAAAAAGATAATATGATCCTATGCGTTAAAATCATTTCGATAATTGCGTACGTTTGTCGAAAAATATGCGAAGATAAACAAACAAACGATTTATGTTATTAATTTCGCTTCGAAATATAACACCACTACTCAAATTCATTTATATTTTGTACTAATTTTACAGCAATTAATAAGAATTAAATTTCTACTTTTCGTTGATCACTAAAGTTCGTAAGCGAAGTATGCATTGTTTCAGGTACTGTTGAAGACTTACTCATATTCTGTAATTTAAATAACATAAATAACTTACTCATATTCTGTAATTTAAATAACATAAATAACATAAATAATTTAAAAGGAAGAAAATTATATTAAATTTTGTGTTCGTATAAAATGATCGAAATTATTAGGATAAAGTAAATAATGATACATAATTTTTGTTTATCAAGCAATATTACGAAGAAAATATTATTCTGAAAAAATTTTTTGATATTTACAAAAATATGATAAGAAGAAAATCTTCTCGAATCAAAGAATAAGAAATTAACAAAGATATTCAAAATAACCTTTATACATGTCACAAGAGATTGTTGCTTCTCGTCAATTCCGGATAATGTTAAAATTTCCGTAGCTGGACCGATTAAGCTAGTAGCTGAAAATAAAAAAAAATTCCAAAAATTAAATATTCCATTTATTTAATTGTTTATTTCACCATATTTACAACAAAATGAAATGCGGAAAATTACATGAAGAATGTACAACAACGGATAACTTTCACCAATACAGGTAACGTGTGAAATTAATTGGATGATAGTGCAAGTGTGCATTGATCGATACATCAGTTCTTAGAGAATTAAAATAGTTATTTAATAGTAAAAGCAAAACGATGAGCGTTAATAAAGCTATTAATTGAGATATCGAAGTGTTATACTACCGCGATATCTCATAAAAAGTTTTGCAAAAAAAACAAACGAAAAGATGTTATTAAACGGGTTTTACAACAGATAAATAAATGTTGCCAGGATATAATGAAGCATCCAAATACAAAAAATACCGAACAATTGTGATACTTCTGGTAGTAGTAGTGGTGGTGGTCGTGAAATCGTAGTATTTGTAATGATAAATGTCGAATAATTATTGTATTTTTGATAATCGAGAAATTATTTTTGATAGTCAAGAAATTTTGCTACTTATGATAATCGATCAAATTTGATATTAATTAACGATCGAGCAATCTCATATGTTTCCGTCGAATCGAACCCTAATTATTCCATGGTTTTTTTCTTTTACATTATTCAACATATTTACTTCATTATCCTGCTAATTTTTTACTACATTAATTTTTTAATATATTTCTGAGCTTTCGATCGCTGCCAATAGTACATATGTATATTGCTAAAAAGACTCTGAAAATGTTAAATCGTTCAGTTAAAATTAATTTGCATGCGAATGATAATGTTGATGATTTTTTAAGGGAGAAATTATTAGATAAAATACAAAAAGATTATTAGTAGAGAAATATATGACAAGATGAAATTTAATTTTGGTATATATCATGCATAAGCTTGGGAACAAACAACTACTAATTGGTAATTGTTTCTTCTTCCTTTGAAGTAAAATATTTCAAGAACATAACATTCCAATTTCATCCCCTTGTTTTTGTTTGCTACATAAGATCACAGTTATTGAGTTATGCACCAATTACTATGTTAATTGCAGGATGCAAAAATAAGAATAGCAAAACGATACTACGAACAATGGTATTAATTCACGATTCAAAATTTTAATATATAAAATTAAAAAACAAACATGCATAATTGTATAAAAGATACCGCTATCATTAATTAATTTATTATTAGTGATAAGAAAGTTATTTTGAATATTTGATACTATTTAATAAAGTTGAAAAATCTTGATAAATATTGCCATGAATTTGTAAAAATAATTTTTTCTATCCACGATATATACGTATCTGTAATCTATATATCCTTTTCTTCACTTCTCTCTCTTTCTCTCTCCTTTTCTCTTAAGAATTCTAATTAGCAATAGCACCTTAAAATGAAAGATAAAGTTACAAACAAACGATTTCACAACAAGTACCACATACGTTTGCCAGAACATAGCGGTTTCAGATTAAGAGATGTTGGACGAGCTGAAAATTAAATTAAATAGATAAAATTTATCATTTTGGATGAATCAATCAGATCACTTAAATATTAAATCGGAATAACTGTGCTACCTACCAAATGG